GCTAGAGTATAGTATCATCATCACAGCTCACTACAGCCTCAAATTCCTGGGCCCAAGTAATCCTCCTGCCTCAGCCTCCCGAGTAGCTGGGACTACAGGAGCACACCACCACACCTGGATAATTTATTTTATTTTACTTTGTGTAGATATCGGGTCTGGCTATATTGCCGAGGCTGGCCTCAACTTCCCAAAGCACTAGGATTACAGGAACAGGTCCCTGCACTCACCCTGTTGTTTATGAAGATTGTGACTGACCTTGACTTAACCAATATGTCATGACTCTTGTAAATTGCACTAATCAATGTCCAACACACTCTGATTGGTCTCAGCTAGGAAGTTTCTCTCTCAAACTCCCATGAACTTCTGGCCCCATAGCTTGAGTTCTAGACTTAGCTGTGGTATCTTGAGTTTATTCCTAAACCTATTTTATGTCAGTTGCACTTGCTGTTGGAGATGTGCAACTCAACAAAAACTTACAAAAGGGATGAGATGTGGAAAGGAAAAGAAAGATTATCAAAACTAAGTTAAATGGAAAAGATTCAACATTGAGAGAAGTCACTAAAACAAAACGCTGTCAAACTGTATCAGCTCAAGAGGGTGAAAATATGGAACTCTGGAAGGATTCTATGCTCAAATTTCTTCCCAAGTGTCTTTAAGTTCCTGCTTTATTTTATATAAACAGAAATTATTGGTGATGTAATATGGGTGTGGTTTAGGCAGACAGAGGAATCTTACTGGTATTTTTATCCATCAAAACATTGGTAAACAGCTAGGATGCAGTGGCTCATGCCTGTAATCCTAGCACTCTGTGAGGCCAAGGCAGGAAGATCATTTGAGCTTAAGCGTTCAAGACCAAACTGGGCAAGAACAAGAACCCCCTCTGCTAAAAATAGAAAAATTAGCCAGGCATCGTGGAGCATGCCTATAGTCCCCGTTACTTGGGACGCTAAGGCAGGAGGATTACTCAAACCCAGGAGTCTGAGGTTGCTGTGAGCTAGGCTGATGCCACAGCATTGTAGCCTGAGCAACAGAGTGAGACTATCTCAAAAAAAAAGGCAAACAAATGTATATTAATATAGAAGTACATTTTTGTATAAGTGATTTTGATTCACACCAAATAAGGATTGTACAGTCCTATCTTCAGCAGCACCATCAACATTATTATAATCAAATTCATAAGGTTGTTATCATTGGTATCTCCATTTTGTAGCTAAGAAAACAGGCTCAGGCTCGGCGCCTGTGGCTCAAGTGGCTAAGGCGCCAGCCACATACACCTAAGGTGGCGGGTTTGAATCCCCAGCCCGGGCCCACCAAACAA